TCCAACTTGCTAACTTATTCCCCACACCTATGGAGATATTTTTTTTTTTACAAGCCTTTTATGTGGCACATTGTCAAATGCTTTCTGAAAATCTAGATACACCAAATCTACATACTTACCCTTATCTACATAAGCAGTAACCTTTATAAAGAATGTCAAAAGATTTTGAAGGCAAGATTTTCCCTTAGTGAAACCATGTTGACTATCCAATATTCTAAACTTTATTAAATGATTTTGTAAGCATCTTTTAATGGACATTCCAAAACTTTTCCATAACTGATGTAATGCTAATGGGTGTATAATTACTGGGACAATTTTTATCACTTTCCTTGAAAAGAGGAGTTGCATTAGCTAACTTCCAATCCTCTGGTACCTGCCCACTGTTATTCAAGGACTGACAAAAAATAGTAATAAATGGCTCACATATCCAATCTTTAACCTCCTTCAAAACCATTGGGGAAATATTATTTGGTCCAGGAGTCTTATCATTTTTGAAACTTCCCATTTTTCTTAACCAGCTCAGAATTAATGCAGTCATCATGTTCGGTCTCATTTCCATTTATCAACTGTTCAAGGTGTGGACTACTCCTTAAATTATTGTTAGTGAAAACCAAAATTTAATAACCCAGCCATATCATAATCATCAGATATTAGCCTTCCTTTATCATCCCTCAAGGGTTCAGGATCCTACCCCCATCTTAACATTTTGTTTACTCTTAATGTATTGTATTTAAAGAAATTCTTACTGTTAATTTTTACATCTTCAGCCAACCTTTTCTCATACATTCTTTTTGATATCATAATTTCCTATTTCACCAACTTTCTTGATCTTCTATAAATTTCTAAATCTCCTGTCATACCAGTCAACGTAAATTTCTTAAATTTATCATGCCTCTCTTTAATTTTATCTCTTAAACTCTTTGTGAGCCAACCTGGTTTTTTTTACTTGCAGGTACCCTTTTCTTTCTATAAGGAATATGTTTACTTTCATTATTTAAAAAATTTATCTTTAAAAATTTTCCACATCTGATTATTGTTTCCAAATAACTCAGCTGCCCAATTCACAACAGAGAATTCTTGTTGCATCCCTTCAAAATTTGCTTTCTTGAAATTTATAACCAAAATATATTTATTCCTTATCTCCATATGCAGCAAAACATTGAACCTAATGTTCCCCAATTTCCACACTCTTGACCATTTCTATATTTGAAGTTAACAATAAATCTAAAATAGCATTGTTTCTAGTAGGATCCTCGACTAATTGGTGAAGAAAGCCATCCTGAACAGTTTCCAAAAACCTTTCTCCCTCATGGTTTCACTCTAGAATTTCTCAATCTATATGCCTGAAATTAAAATTGTCCATAATTATGACTTCATTAACAGCTGAAATATTAATCTAATCGTAAAGTTTCTCACTTATTTCACGAATATCATTTGGTGGTCTGTAACCAATTCCTGTTAAATGCCTTTTCCCTTTATATCCACTAATAGAAACCCAAATGGATTCAATCTCCATGCTATTATCTTTGATATCCTCAACTTCAACAGGATCTAACTTGCATTTTACATGTAAAGCCACTCCTCCCCCTCTTTAATACTCTATCCCTATTAAATAGCCGGTAACCTTGTATTTCAAATAAATTTCTGTCATCAAAATCATCTACATTTAACCATGTTTCAGTTATTCCCATTATATCAAAATCTTCTATTCCGACCAATGGTCTAAGGTCATATATTTTATTTCTTATACTTCTAGCATTACAATAGTAACAATTAAGCCTATCCTTACAACTATTTCTATACTCATTTCCTATGCTAAACTTTTCTCTGACTATTATTATTTTTTAATTTAGTTCTTCCTGGCCCTCACCACTGTCTAGTCCTAGTTTAAAACTTCCATTACAGCCGAGTTAATAGCCTTCGCAAACAAGCCACCCCCTACCCTATTTAAATGTAAACCATCCATTCCAAAAAGCTCCCTTCTTCCACTGAACTGATCCCACAAGTCCAGCCAGCAAATCTGCTCATCCTTACATACTAACTTAATCCTAGCATTTAGCCCTAGTGACCTACTTTTAACTTCACCCCGACAGTTAATTCTGGGCAGTATCCCTGAGAAAATTAAGTTATGGCTGTTTTCTTTAAATGCCTTTATCAACCCCTTGTACTTATTAATTAGATCATTTGACCTACCTTTTCCTACATCATTAGCCCATACATACACCATCAAAACTGCATCTCTGCTAGTCCCCTTTATTATATCTCCTGCTCTGTCAGTTATATCCTCCACCTGTGACCCTGGGTAACATAATCTGATTCTTTTTTCCTATTTTACCCCACAGACTATTCTATCTGCATGCCTTGTCAAGAAATCACCTATAACTATAACCTCCTTATCATCCACATCCTTTTCTAACCCTTTTGTTTTACTTCCCTCCAATAGTTCCTCATCTCCAAAAGTCAAGAGCTGAAATTTGTTGCTCAACAGAATAGGCTCATTATAACTCAATTCACTACTTTTTACTCTAATAGCACTCTCTCAATAACTGCTTGAAAGTCATTGTTAGGTGATGTGTCCCTTGCATGTAAAAGCTTAAGTTCCTCCTGAAGTCCTGCTGCCAATTCCCAAAGTCTACACTTCTCTTTATCTATTACCTCTACTTTATTCATGATTGCCTCCAACTTCTCCTCCAACCTACAAACTCTACATAAAAATTGCACATCTTCATTACTAGCTTCCTTAAAAGTAGATTCCAGTCCTGAGTTCCAAAATAAAACTCACTTGTAACACCAATTACACCTAACAAACTGTGAATGCTTATCTCCTACACTAGTCTTAACCATTGTATTTATACATATAGCCTGAAAATAAATATTCAATACCAAATACCAGTAGCCTATTTTTAACACTGTTACTTTTAAGCCTAACGTTTAAGAACCAATTATATTATTTTTTTATCACTACTTTGTCTTCACAATAAAGTAATAAAGTTTATCTATAATTATACAGAACTTAATAATTTATTAGAACAATATACATAACATTAATAGTAAAATGTATTTAGCCTGATTTATATTATAACCTATGTATATCTATAAGCTGAATTTAAACTAATGGATCTAAGTTCAAGTAAACAAGTTAATTCTAAAAACACCAAGAGACAATAAACTAGTTTTTAGATTGTATTTATTTAATAAAACAATGTATTTATCCTGTTTTGCAATTTACCAGTAAGTTGAAATATACCTAAGCCTAAAGTACTGCTACATGTACTAAGCCTATGTTAACATTGTAGTAATTTACACCACTAAATTCTATTAAGAAATACTAATAGTTTCAGGCCAGTAAAAAAAAAAATGTTCCTTAAAGGTCAAAGGATACTTATGTTAGAATACTGGTCTGTATTATTATAAATTATATGCCATACGCAAGTACTTTAAATATTACATAACAAGTTAACCGTATATACCAGATGTCACTTGCATACATTTTTTTTTTTTTTTAAACTCCACTTAATTTTTTTTCATTTCAGACTCGACAAATACTTGAAGAGTTAACAGAACTTCCTGTCATGGTGGAACTTGCTAGTGACTTTCTTGATAGAAATACACCAATATTTCGAGATGATGTTTGTTTCTTTATCTCGCAATCAGGTTTGAAAAATAACTTACATTTTTTTCTATATTTTGAGATGATGTTTATTTTTTTTTTATCTTGGTCAGGTTTGAAAAATAATTTAAAATTTTTCTCAAAACTAACAACAAATTGACATATATAAAACAAACCAACAACCAAGAAGTAACACCTTAATACCCATATGAGATAATTAGTTTGCTGCTGTTATTATTCAATACATTTTCAGGTATAAAATTAGGTAAAATATTATAAGATCCTGGTCAGTCAGAAACCCACCCAAAATTAGGTTTTTCGCTGAAAAAAAAAATTTAGATTTGAGAAAAATGCCATAAAAACCAGATAACACTGACATGTGTAAAAATTTTGCTCTTTCGAAATCAGTTTTCCATTATCTGTGAAGTCGGGAAGTAGCTGATCATTTTTGCCATTTTATCCGAGACCAGAAAGGATGTTTAAATTCTGAAAGCTGTTTTCACCTTTTTAGATTATTCCCCACCTATTGCACCCTTTCCCTATTTATTGTTGATGCTTTTTAAAAAAGTTCATGGCAGTCCAAGGGGTGGGTTTCTCACTGACCGGATCATAACAATCCAAATATACTTTAATCAAAGAAATTAATGTTTACTTTTCATTATTAATCATCCCCAGCAAGTAATTTGTCACAAAGCGTTGGAATGACCATAAAAAAATAAATATTTGACTGACTATTAAGGTTGGTAAATAGTTTTTCTCATCAGCATCACTTAAGTGTAATAGTGTCATTTGTGTAAAGTGTTAGGGAATTTGGGGGTGGTTTTGGCTGGACAGTATATTTACATTTGTTGTAACCTTCCCAGAAAAACTCTGAGTGGTAGAAGCCATTAGAATTTTTACTCTTTGTTCACCCATACTTTCCAGGTGAAACAGCTGATACACTGATGGCCTTAAGATATTGTAGGATGCGTGGTGCCCTAATAGTTGGGATCACCAATACTGTTGGTAGTAGTATCTGTCGGGAGAGTCACTGTGGTGTTCACATTAATGCTGGACCAGAGATTGGAGTTGCCAGTACCAAGGTGAATAAATTAAATAGCTTTCTGTATTTCTCTTTTATGGAGTATAAAATGTTGGAATTACATTTAGACTAAAATCAGTAGTCATGCTCAAAGCAAAAATTATATACTATTGTTGCTATATTCCATAATAGTTAATTTTTGTTTAATTTATACTCTGAGTATTGGACATTTTGAGATCAGATTTGCTTGGCTAAGGGATGGGTGTACAGCTAAACCCTTTCGTGACAGGTGGGTCTTAACTGTGCATGTCACAGTCTTTTAGTGACTTTGAGTAATTCACGTTGAATTTCATTCTTATTGAAGGGGTGGTAAATAAAAGAGAAAAGGGGATGCCTAGAGAAAATGTTGCATTTCTCACCTAGGGGAATTTCAGGATTTTTAAAAATATTTCCTTATAAAATTAAGAACTTAAAGCTTATATACTATTAAAATATGGATTATTAGCTACAATTTTATGCTATACTAATAGGTACAACATAAACAAAAAGTAATTTAATAAAATTTTTAATGTCAATAAATTCATCATTACTCGGACAAACCATAATTTTTATAGCCTTCAATTTTAAATGGATATAGAGCTATCAAATAGATAATCAAACCTCTTGCCACACCCACCTGTCACATCCTCTCTTTCAGGATTTATTAATAGTTCTCCTCTACATTTAATTCTGTATTATGTATAACCAATAGAAAGCCAAGGTTTTCATCTATCGAATGACGTATCATATTAGGTTGTTTTCTGAATGGAGAATTGTCAATTTCTCTGTTAGTACTAACTTCATTCCCATGGGATTAGCTTGAATGAATTTGTAATGGCTCTTGTCACATAGTTAGAAAGCCAGAAAAATTGTCATAGTTAGGGGGACTTGTCTGCATTTTGCATGTTATTATTCTATGTTCTTTGCATTATTTAATTATAATAATATTGTTTATACAATAAAGTACTTAAAGTAACAGACAATATGTAGTGATTATAGAAATTAAGAAGTTTCATATATTTATAAAACTACTAATCAAAAACAAATGTATCAAACAATTAACATAGAGCAAAGAAGGAAAAGAAAAAAATGGTCATTCTTTCCAAACACACCTTTTCAAAAAACAGATGTATCAAACAATTAACATAGGAGAGCAGATAAGGAAAAGAAAAAAATGGTCATTCTTTCCAAACACACCTTTTCAAAAAACAGATGTACCAAACAATCAACATAGGAGAGCAGAGAAGGAAAAGAAACAATGGGCTTTCTTCCCTAACACACTTTTTATAACACTTAGGTTTTCAGAAAGAAAATCAGCTGGTCAAGCATTTTTAATTTGAATATTTGTAAAATGTTTAATACCTTTAATTCTATTTTGCCTTTTTAGGTAATATAGTGGCATAATGTGTGTATTTCACACTAATACATTTAAAAGAAGTGTCCTTTTCAACAGTACATATATTTTTAAGAATGATGATCCAAGATATTTCTTAAGTTTTTTTTTTTAATTTCTTAGGCTTACACCAGCCAGTTCATCTCATTGATAATGTTTGCCCTTGTTATGTGTGATGACAGAATATCGATGCAGCCAAGACGCAGTGAAATAATTCAAGGCCTTAGAGCTTTGCCCGGTGAGTATTTTACATTTTTTTCATAACTCTGTAGTTTTCTTTCTTTTTCAGGTATTTAAAAATGATTTCATTTTGAGAAAATATGATGAAAAATCAGGAAAAACAAAGAAAAATATAACATACACAACACACACAATCAGAAGTTTCAAATTTAGTCTTGCATTGAAAAGATTGCTGAAAATTGTGTAGAAAACTGCTAAGCCCTAGCAAAGGATTTAGATTGTATAATGTAATTAGGGAGGCCCGGCATGGCCAGATGGTTAAGGCGCTCGACTCGTAATCTAAGGGTCGCGGGTTCGAACCTCCGCCTTTGCCTGGTCCCAAGTCCAGGATGAGAAAG